GTTTGATAAAAAAAAAATATCAAGCAATTAATCAATTTCCAAAGATTTATTTAACCCGCGTGAGAAACGAGGAAGTCTTAATGAAAACTGAAATGACATTTAGAATGGGAAGAGGAAATTTCATGGGTGAAGGGGAACTTGGAGAATTTGACCATCGCAGGGCATGTCGAAGGAAAAAGCGACCGGGAATGGCATCGGACCACCTACCTGACGTGCTTGTGTGAATGGATGATGGAACGGTGGGGATGGGAAGCTTGGCAAAGGGACTAAATTTACTAAGACCTACAAAGGATAGGAAGTTGTGGAGAACCATGATTGCTTTGAAGAGCCACGACACATAGAAGAAGCGAATACAACGGGAGGATCCAGAGAGAAGTCCTTATAATGTTTATTACTGGTGGGTGCATTTGATCTGTAGATAAAATCGTGTTGTAAACAGACAAGAAAGGATCTGTCTGTAGACGACAATTTGCTCAAAAGACCGACGAATATAAAATGATTATAATTTTATATACAATGAAAATTATCAATATTATTATTTTTGTTTTTTTTGTGTCTCTCGAATTTCTTCAATCGACTTATTATATCTACTTATTATAAGAATTTATATTATTAAATATAACAGACAATGAATTTCTATTATGTTTGATCAGGTGCCGTTCTAATCTCCGTATATTTGTTTTAATTTCGGGTGAAAATATAGAAAAAATTTGGATTTTTTTTTATTAAGCTGTTCCTTGATCTATGCTTTTGGCTCACATGAGAATGGTTATGGAGGCGTAATTTAAAATGCAACTGGCGTTAATGGATTTAATATAAGAAGTAAATAACGTTTTGGCCACAACATCTGATAAAGATTTTACTAGTTTTTCCCGCATCTTTCAACGCACTTTGTGTCTCATTCCCAAGACTATGGTATGGCCGAGATACGAGATGTGCGAAAAGCTTTTCCACTTTGTCTCATTATCAGCAATCGGATATTATTCTGTATCCATATATATATATATATATATATATACACACACACACACACACACACACACACACACACACACACACCTAACTCTTCAAGTTCGAATTGAGTTCCCCGAGCCGCTGGCGTATTTCGTATAGAAAAAAAACCCGCTAAAATTCCCTCCCTTTTTGCGATGATGGTCTATGGAGTAAGATATCTGACTGATGTCAGATCAGTCGGGTTTCGATCCCGGCTTGAAGCAATCGGACGTCTAGCCACACTGAGGAGCTGTGATGCAGCGAAACAGTCTGTCTGTCGATGACTATATGCTCCCGGAAATCCGGTTGAGCTCTCTAGGGAAAAAGGGGGTTTTAAAAACAGCGGCTCCTACTGCTATTAAGCTGTATATATTAAATTTCTTCAAGCCGCTGGCGTATTTCGCATAGATAAAAAACGTTAAAATTCCCTTCATTTTTGCCGGGCGACGATGGGCCTAGGGGTAAGATAGTTTAGCCACACTGAGGAGCTGTGATACAGCGAAACAGTCTGTCTGTTGATTATATATATCTATATCTATATCTATATATATATATATATATATATATATATATATTGTATTGGGGTGGCAGATCATTATTTAAACATATATTGTTAAATATAACAGACAACGAATGTCTATTATGTTTGATCAGGAATTATTCTAAACTACGTATATTTGCTTTAATTTCGGGTGAAGATAAAAAATTTTCCAACTTTTGGATATTTTTTTTTTATATAGCTGGTCCTTCATCCAAGCTTTCGGATCACATGAGCCATCTTCAGGAGTGGTTATATGGACATTTAAACAAAGATGTTATGTTGACATAGAAGATTGCTATGCGACGATAACGGTCGCGGAATAGCAGACGCAGGTCGTAAATTAGCGGCGCGGTTCTATGACGTCATACCACGTGAAAGACCAAAATATTAACAACAGAATCATATGCCTAGATGCAATGTAACGTGTTGTGACTAGTCTGAAATGTAATATTCAAAAAGTTTATTTACACCCGAAATTAAAGCAAATATACGTAGTTTAGAATAATTCCTGATCAAACATAATAGACATTCGTTGTCTGTTATATTTAACAATATATGTTTAAATGATGATCTGTTGCCCAATATAATATATATATATATATATATATATATATATATATATATATATATATATATATATATATATATATATATATATATATATATATATATGTTTAAATATTATAATATATGTTTAAATATTATAAGAAGTATACCTGGACAACCTTTCTTTACTATCGATTGGACAACATTTATTGGACAATCCTGACTGTACTGCCGATTACATTGACATTTTTTCTATGTTCGCTCGGTCCGCCATTTTAGATTTCTTGACGCTATATATATTAAATTTCATCAGCCAAGCCGATATAAGCAAAAGGAACACTTTATTCGTTTCTTAGAATTTTTTTCTTTTCTTTTTTTTTTTAAATTGAAAAATATTCCTTGGAATTACCCCGAATGTCGTCCGCACTTACGAAATGTGAATAGCTCCCTGATTTCGAGTAATGTTTAATTCTGAGGGTTGGAGCTCCAGCGAAGCAAACTAAACAAATTTTAATTTATAATTTAAAAAAAAAGTGCCAAAAAAGAAAACAAACAAACCTTGATTTAAAATTTATAGTTTCTTTGAGTGAATTAATATCTGCGATAAGTAACTTTACATTATTTGGGGTGAATTAACAGAAAAATCCACAAAATTTCTAACCAATGACCATGTCGCCATCTATATTTATCATTTCCTTATATTTTTATCATCCACTTGTACATAGTGACTCCTTTTCGAGCACACACGTTTTCGTTTGACCAATCCCTATTGTAAACACCTGCTCTGTCCCATTTGAGTTTGTTTAACACCAACAGAGCCAATCTGTGGTTTATACTGCAACTATTATCTTGAACGGCAACACTTTTAGGTCTTTTTACATTAGCAAATTCAACAGCAAGACGTTGAGGCCTGGTTGCCAATCTAGTAGCACGCTTAAATCCATGTAGTCTGTGCACCATAGGCTCATAACAGCAGTTGCCATGAAAATATCTACAGAAAAAAGAGAGGGAAGCCACGTCTCCAGATATAGCAACAGTATTCAATGCACGGACAAATGTTACATTTATAAATGTGCTGGATGGATGCTGACAAGATAAATCTTATGGCACGACACAGTCGACCAACATTTCTTGCAGTAGACGTAGCAATTGATTCGATGTTAGAGTAGAAATGACGGTTTCATCTAGCAAATTCAACAGCAAAACGTTGAGGCCTGGTTGCCAATCTAGTTAGTAGCACGCTTAAACCCATGTAGTCGGTGCACCAGGGAAAACAGGCTCATCACAGCAGTTGCTAAGAAAATAGTTGCAGAAAAGACAGAGGGAAGCCACGTCATGTCGGTGAGAAATTGACTGAAGTCGAGATGGCTGGTCAGGCTCAATTATATTACAGACTCTTTGGATTTTGTCAAGAATCTCGAGATATGCAATAAGGACCCCAGGCCAGATATGCCAGCAGCATTCAATTCACGGACGAATGGTAGATTTGTAAATGTGCAAGATGGATTCTGACAAGAAAGATTTTCTTGCACAACACGGGGAACGAACTTTCTTTGCAGTAGACATAGCAATTAACTCGGTGTGGTGAGTCCACTTCACGTCAGTGGAAAACGTAAGGTCAAGAAGGTCAAGAAGACGTAGAGTGTTACTCTCCTGGGTGAAATTTGAATGTTTGGAAAAATACTTTGACTATAACCCTAATTTGAGATTTAATAATTAGTTTAATTTAATTTTATAGGACTTCATGGTAAACAGTATTTTTAATCCTTTAAGATCTTATGTTCCTGAACAATTTTAACCCTTTTCCCTGAGCTCCTGAGTCAAAATACGCAAATAATTATGTAATGTTTCACGATAAATATAAAAATAGTTACAAGTGTCTACCCACTGTTCAACCAATGGCTGGACATTATCTCATTTTTTCTCTACCACCGGTAAAGCGGTGGTCGGGGCTCAAATGGTGAATGTGGTTGTTCTCAAGAGATCTATTCTTACAGTTTCTTAAAGAGAGCGCGTCATTTGGCGTGGTGTTGTAGAGCAGTTTCACAGTGGAGGCTTGTATTTCACTAAGTCGGTCCTAAAAAAGGTTCGACGTACAAAAAGTTTGGAACTTGATATAATAGTTAATGACGCAGAGAAATCTAGTGGTGGTCGTTGATACTCTTAGTATCCGACTCATGGTCGTCCGACATCGACTGACTGACCAACTTACTGAGCGACTGCTACTACTACTACTACTACTACTACTACTTATTATAGGTGGGAGAGTCTGTTAACAATAGAATAGGTATGTTCCAGTATAACGCGTGGTCAGCAGGTTAAACAAGGCAACTACACTCAAACCCTCGGTCACGGTGACTTGTGACTTCGTGCTAGCACAACCACGACGGCTTTTGAACTGTTCCGTTTTCCCCAATGTCACTAACAAGGTTTGCATGAACTCGTGGTATGGTTTTCAGCCACTTCCCAAACATGCCCCGCGCTAGAACCACCTCGGGTTATTCGAAAACGTGTCTCATAGTCAGCAGGTGAATATCCTAACCACTCAGCCACGCGACCATTCTCTCGTTCACACACACACACACACACACACACACACACACACACACACACACAAACACACACACACACACATATATATATATATATATATATGTGTAAAGGTTGGGAAAACGAGAGATATGTAGGTAGGCACATAAGTAGGTAGGCAACTGAATCTAACAATTAATCTAGGCCAGCTGGTTACTCAAGGGGTGATATTAGTCATCGGTCATGTCTTTCTTACTATCGTTTTTTTGTTACTTTCATTTCGTTAGAGATTTCACACACACACTTTTCGAGATAATCAAATAAAATTGGGAGAGGAACGGCGGGGGGCTAAGATCAAATAAATATTAATGTAGGTATGAAAGTTTAAAATTTAATAGAAAAATGAAAAACACCCGGAAGGGTGAAGTTCGGTGTAAGACTGGAAAATTAGAAAGAAAGAAAGAAAGAAAGAAAGAAAGAAAGAAAGAAAGAAAGAAAGAAAGGATAATGAAAGAAAAATGCAGAAGGAAAGAGTAGTAGATGGGAAAGACAAAAAGGGAAGAGGAATGAAAAGAAAGAAAGAAAGAAAGAAAGAAAGAAAGAAAGAAAGAAAGAAAGAAAGAAAGAAAGTAAGGAACAGAAGTAAAAAAAAGGGAAGCGGAGAAGTATATTGAAAAGAAAGAAACAAACAAAGAAACAAAGAAACAAAGAAACAAAGAAAGAAAGAAAGAAAGAATGAAAGAAAAAAAGTAAGAAAAGTACAGGGAAAAGAGAAAAGGAGAAGTACAAAGAAAGAAAGAAAGAAAGAAAGAAAGAAAGAAAGAAAGAAAGAAAAAAGTACGAAAAGTACAGGGAAAAGAGAAAAGGAGAAGTACAAAGAAAGAAAGAAAGAAAGAAAGAAAGAACGAAAGAAAAAAGTAAGAAAAGTATAGGGAAAAGAGAAAAGGAGAAGTACAAAGAAAGAAAGAAAGAAAGAAAGAAAGAAAGAAAGAATGAAAGAATGAAAGAAGTAAGAAAAGTACAGGGAAAAGAGAAAAGGAGAAGTACAAAGAAAGAAAGAAAGAAAGAAAGAAAGAAAGAAAGAAAGAAAGGATAATGAAAGAAAAATGCAAAAGGAAAGAGAAGTAGAAGGGAAGACAAAAGGGGAAGTAGAATGAAAAGAACGAAAGAAAGAAAGAAAGAAAGAAAGAAAGAAAGAAAGAAGCAGAAGTAGAAAGAAAAGAGAAAAGGGGAAGTATAAGGAAAAGAAAGAAAGAAAGAAAGAAAGAAAGAAAGAAAGAAAGAAAGAAAGAAAGAAAGAATGAAAAACACAGAAAATTGAAGGAAGCAGAAGTAAAATAAAATGAGAAAAGGAGTAGTAGAATGAAAAGAAAGAAAGAAGAATACAGAAAAAAATGAAGGATGTAGAAGTAGAAAGAAAGGAAAACAGAGAAGTAGGATGAAAAGAAAGAAAGAAAGAAAGAAAGAAAGAAAGAAAGAAAGATAGAATGAAAGAAGTAGAAGGAAAAAAGAAAAGAAAGAAAGAAAGTGTGTAGGAGTAGAAGAAAGAAAGAAAAGTAAAGTTGTATTTGCAAAAACATAAAGAAAATGTGTTTACTCGTTCAGATTTCTTCGAAAGTCATAACTGCTCAGTTTCAGAACCAAAAGTTGTTTCTAAAGAATTAATGCATTTTGCTAATATCGAATATTTTTAATATCGTATATTTTTAATATCGTATATTTTTAATATCGTATATTTTTAATATCGTATATTTTTAATACTTCAAACGTTACATTTAGTGGATAACCGTATTTAATTAGATGCTCCAGAGAGCATATTGTCTTTAATAATTCTTGTCGAATGTGCAGGCTGGTAAACGAAATAAAATACTCTTTAAAATAAACGGAACGTCTATCCAAAACCGGGGGGCCCGTCCTGGGTAAACTACATCCGCCACCTGGGTAAGACGATAAACTACATCCGCATCCTGGGTAAGACGATAAACATACATCCAGCAGCAAGGACTCTGAACAGGCGATTTTGAGGGAATGGTAGACTTATTAAGTGCAAGACAGATTTGGGTACGAAAATTTATCTAACACGACATTTTGAACCAACTTTCTTAGCAGCTGACTTAAGAACTGACTAGATCTAATCATTCAATTTCATGTGTACACGCACGAATGATAACGTGTGATAATGCCTTAAATATTATAGACTCTAGTCCAGTATTTCTCAACCTTTTTCAGCCAATGGATCATTTATTTCTTTAAAATTCCAAATGGACCACTACTACTTTTAGTTTTAGGCTATTCAGTTTTCACACTAAAATACTCAATGAAAACACAAAGTAGTCTATTTACACTTTAGAATTTATTTTAGTAAAGAAGGATAAACACATGATATCATAATCAATTTTGATGATGTCATTCAGTCTTAGTCCATTCAACTAGTAACTACCTTGATCTTGGTGTTTCTCATACAAGATATCAAAATCATTTTTGATGGTGTCATTCATTTCTTAGTCTGATAGTTCCTCTGCTGTTGAGATCAAATTTATTTCCTTTTCTACTGAAAACATCCAGAACAGCCGAAAATCCAGATTCCACCATCCATGTGGTTGGGAAATAAATACTATATATAGTACATATAAATAAATACTATATATAGTATATATAACATTCATGGAAGACTTCAAGCTTGTACGAAAATATAAGAATCTATTGATCAAGTAAGGTAAGGATTTATTATCGAACTGTTTTTAAAATTGTTCCATCGTTCTGATATTTTGAAATCATTTTTGAATTGCTTGTAACGTGGAGGACTTCAAGCTTGTATGAAGATAAAAGAAGTTATTGATCTCTGCGAATTCCTATATCAACGGAAGGGATTTCTTGAACTGTTTATATAAAATAGTTCAATCGACTTTTTTAATATTTGGAAATCATCTTCGAATACGTTTTTACAACATCGCCCACGTGACGACGACGTGATCATATTTAAACGGAACGCTGATCTTATATAAAAATTTCAGTTATCTGTTTGGATTAGCTGTGCTCTTATGTCCATCGTCTTTTCATGTTGAATTTTATATGTTCTAATGGTAATTATGTTTAATGAAAATATCCTGAAGATGGTCTAAAATAGACCGAAACATCCGACGTTGACTTTATATTAACATTAATACAGCATAATTGCATATTAAGATTTTGTTTGTTTTTTCTGTATATTTTTCTTCATACTGTCGGATCTATATCGATATATTTGCTTACATATATATATATATATATATATATATATATGATAAAAGTAAAATAAATATAGCCCTGCATAATACCTACATAGTTTCGAAATTTTCAAATATAATGGACGTGTGTAATTAAACAAAATATATATTTTTTTAATTCTTCAAAGTATGAATAATTTAGATATATTTTTGTAAAACAGCAACGATTTTTTTATCGCTACCAATTCTCTGTGGACCACTAGAAATTTTATGTGGACCACCGGTGGTCCAACTGGATCACGTTGAGAAACACTGCTCTAGCCCACCACTTCAAAGGATAGACAGTAGCACATACAATAAACATGTAACATTTCAGGCGGACCATATGATCCTTCTAAATACCAGCCTATAAGCCTTTTACCTCTGTTTGACAAAGTACTTTTTCACTAATCAACCTCTAATTGGTTAAGCATCTCACCTCGTACAGTGTCTCATTTCAGACAAAACAATATGGCTTTCTCTAAGCCAACTGCTGATGTCCTAACGCTTATTCTTGAAAGAGTCTACCAACCGTTAGATAATAATTAACTTGGACTATTGGGTACCTGAAGGTGTTTGACAGGGTTTGTCATGCTGGGATTCTTCACAAAATGAAAATGATATTTCGAAAAAAAATCTTTAATCAGATTTAATCTCTCTTATCAAATCGCGAAATGAAAATTATCTTGAACGCCCAGGTTTTTAGATCTTTTATACATTCATGTGGGTGTTCCTCAGAGATCTATTCTTAGATCAACGCTGTCCATAATTTCCATCAACGACCTTCCCGATGTCATCAGTTCTCGTTTGACAGAATTTGGTATGCTAATCTTCTTCACAAGATGAAGGTTTATCGTATTTCTTGACGAATCTTTGATCTGATTTAATCTTTCTTATCAAATCGCGAAATTTAGTTCTTTTTTACATGAATGTGGGTGTTCCACACAGATCTATTCTTGGATCTACGCTATCCATAATTTCCATCATCGATAACATCAGTTCTCGATTCGGTATCTACGCTGATGACACAACTATTTACTGCTGCCTTAATCGTAAATCCGATCGGTTCAATAAGGTCAAATTGGCAGCTGATCTTAAAAATCGCTTACAATCTGTTGTTAACGAGGGAAATAAATGGGTAGCTAATTATAACGACCTGAAACGAAACTGCCCCCTTTTAATCATCTCAGAGAACCTTTATTTGCTTTCGATCAGTATGGCAGATGCTAAACTCCAGGAATGTGAACCATTGAACATTCTCGGGCCAACGTTTTACACCGACATGAAGTGGAAAGATTATACGCTATTTACATTATTCGGATTATTGTCCTCATCTTTGTCGCCATATTTATTACAACGTTTCGGCCGTTGTACGCTCCGTCCTTCTTCAGGTACAACGGCCAAAACGGTGTAATAAATATGCCGAAAAAGATGAGGACAATAGTCCGAATAATGTAAATAGTGTACATAATACCTAATCTCAGAAATATAGACTGATACTGAAAGGCCGAAACGTTGTAATAAATGTGGCAACAAAGATGAGGACAATAGTCCGAATAATGTAAATAGGGTACATAATACCTCATCTCAGAAATATAGACAGACACTGAAAGGCCGAAACGTTGTAATAAATATGGCAACAAAGATGAGGACAATAGTCCGAATAATGTAAATAGTGTACATAATACCTCATCTCAGAAATATAGACAGACACTGAAGGGCCGAAACGTTGTAATAAATATGGCGAAAAAGATGAGGACAATAGCCCGAATAATGTAAATAGTGTACATGATACCTCATCTCAGAAATATAGACTGATACTGAAATGCCGAAACGTTGTAATAAATATGGCCACAAAGATTAGGAAAATGTAGACAGATACTGGAAAGATTATATTGAACCAATTGCTAGGTAGGGGTAAAACATTTTTCTCACCAGATTGTATCTTACACATTTATAAGTCGATCACTTGTCCATACATTGAAAATTGCTGTCATATTTTATCTGTTGATTATTCACAATATTCTAAAAATAAGAATCTACAATGTTATCAGTCCTAATCTGGCATCTAGGCTCCAATCATTTTTTTACCACAATCCTGTGACTTTTCTATAAATACTTTCATGGTAAAAAAAACCCTCGACTTTACGAAATTAGGCACAGTAATAGAATAGCAGATAAGTCTCATCATTTTACAGTTGCAATGGCGAGATGTAATCGTAAGTTGGATGCTAATATTAACTTCCCCAAAACTTTTCTCGCTTCTGTAACTATTTTCTGGCCGCTTGCTTTTCATTCAACTTTGATCTTTAAAACTTTAAACACAAGTTCTTTCTAGATATTTAGAGATCATTGATAAAATCCAAAGTACAATCTGCAGTGTTAATGGTCCTGACCTGACACCTCGGTTTCAGTAATTTTTCCAACCACCATAACGTAGCCTTTTCTATAAATATTTTCATGGTAATTGTTCTGATCTTCTTTTCACTATGGCACCTAGACTCTGTGAATTTAAGGAAAGTGTTCAATTGGCGACATGGTCTCATCATCTTACCGTTGAATTGGCTAGATGTAACCGTAAGTTCTATGCTAACAGTTTCTTCTCTCGCACTTCCCGCTCTTTGAACTCGTTTCCGGTTTCTTGCTTCTCAGTCAACTTTGACCTTCAAAAATGTTAATGCAATGTCAATCGTTATCTTTTGACATCTTCATCCCTGTTCTTTTATTATTCTTTCTTCTTAATAATGTTTTTTCGTCTCTTATTCTTTCACACGCAATAACGCCCTTGAATCTTAGTGGCTTTATTGCGTTGCTTGGGGTGAAATTATTTTTTTTAAATTGGAGCAAACAGAAAAACACAGATTAGCGTTGATTTTGTGTAAAAGACCAAGTAAGTTGCTCCAAGCAAACAGGGTCAAAGAATCGTCCGTTTCGAAGATAAGCAAAAGAATTCATTATCTACACTATACAAATATAAATATTTATACTTTCGGGGTCCATAATCTTGACGTGAATATTGAAGCGTGAAAAACTAAATGCCAGACCCGAACTTTCAATTTGAGTCAGCTGCTTAACAAAAACAATGTAGTTACCAAAATAGTAACTGCATCTGCTACTTACCTGTACTTATTTATTTATAGATATATATTTCGTTGTATTCGTTGCAATGACGCTGTATGAGCAAAAATATGTAAATATGTTTCTGGCTTCGTTCATTTGAAAACGGTCTCAATTAGAAAAGGAAAATCAAAGCGATTTAGCCAGAATAACGGTGACATTTGACCTCGTTTCTAACTTTGAAAAATTGGTATATTTTTTTTGGGGGGGGGTCCACCGCTTAGTGACACTCTCATGGGTATTTAAAGCTGAAACTTATTTTGGATTCTGAGGAGACATTTTTTTTTGCATTAACAAAAAAATATTGCATTAACAATTTTTTAGAGATAAAAATGATTTTTCCAGATACGAATTCTACTATTTAACCCTTAGCAGCAGGGTGGAGTTAGTTTCTTAACTTTCTAGTCTCCTTTTGGTTTTATAACAATTACCATTTTAATTACAGTTGTTTTTCTTAAAAAATGTTATTATTAAGTAAATAAACTTTAAAGACAGCTTCATTAATATGAGTGACTGTTTTTTTAATATGGGTGACTTTTTTAAAATATGGGGGACTGTTTCTTTAATATGGGTGACTGTTTTATTAATACTAACGAAAAACAAAAAAAAAGAATACATGTGTGACAGATCTCAAAATTTAAATAAAGATTATATAAGCAAAAAACGGATCATTTTAAAACAATTCACCTGTGAATTATCGATTTATTGTTTTTTACGGTTTATCAACCCTTTGTGGGTCATTTAAACCCAAAACATATTTTGAATTATAAATATTTTTTTTGGTTTTTTTTAGCGAGTGTATACTGACAATTTTTTTTTTAGATTCATATTCTACTATTTAATCCATAGCCGGGAGGAAAGAGATGAATTCGTGTCTTTCGCAAGGGTATTAGAGCCTGGGCGAATGTAACGATATCGACTGGAATTAAAACTCAGCTCTTTCCGATTTTTCATTTCAAGCCAATATTCAGTACATCACCCACAAAATACTTAACTTTGAGAAAAGTCATTGGCATACCGTGAGCCACAACGCGGCTCATTGCGGCTCCTCGGTAAAAGTTTTCCACTAGAACGATTATATTGAATCAGTTGATAGGTCTACTACTGGGAAATTTCGTTCACTCTGTCGTGCGAGATAAACTTTCTCGCCAGAATATTTCTTACACATTCATAAGTCGACACATTAGACCATGCATTGAATATTGCTGCCATATCTTATCTGGCATCTCAGCTTCAGTCACTTTCCCGCCACTGTAACATAGCTTTCCTGACCCGTTTCTGTAAATTCTTTCATGGTAAATGCACCTCGACTTCACGTATTTAAGCACAGTACTAGATTAGAAGTTAGGTCTCATCATTTTACAGATAGATGTAGCTGTAACTTTTCCTTCTCTCGCTCGTGAAACTCTCTTTCGGCCTCTTTGGTCTTTAAAACTTTAATGCTAGTCGTTATCTTTTGACGTCTTAATTCCTGTTCTTTTATTTTTTCTTTCTCCTTAATAATGTTTTTCTTCTCTTATTTACACTAAGTAACCCCCTTGCGTCTTAATGGAGATTAAAACACGCACGTAGTCGAGTGGACAGTAAATGACTTTATCCTGCTTAGTTTCTGAAATGGAAAACACGGATGTACATGTTTTATTCACTTTTGAAGTAAAAAAAAAAACAAAAAAAACAGCAGAAGAGATTTTAGTTTCTGAGAAAAACATTTACGAATAAGACAAGTATAGGAACAGGCTTAAGAAGTTCAATCCAGCAGTCAGTGGCTACTTCAGCTAAAAAAGATTCAGGGTATGTGCAGAACTATTTTATACAATAAATTGCAAAGCCTAATACTGAAAGCGTCAAAGCAGTCACCCGCTGTAGGGAGGTAAGAAAAAAAATAGAAATGACACAAATAAATTGAAACATTCGGGATCAAGTGCCATTTGGCCGGAAATTAGAGAACTCCAGTCGGAGTCATATATAGACAGAGTGAAGGAGTAAATCAGTTTCAAGCCGCTTGTTGACTGTTGGCGGAAATAGACATAGCCGGAAAGCCATGCATCGTGATGTATAAATTAGTAGCAGATGAGGGTAAGTAATCAGAACGACGTAAGTGGGAGTGTTAAAGTGAGAAAGAGGGAGTCGATGTTCTCGTTGGTCACAGAGGAGATTTGATCCGTTAGTCTGTCGTGAAACAAAAAATGCAGAAATAGCAGTGAAGATGTTTCAAGTGTCACCTACCTACCCGCCAGACTTAGCCATGTTAACCCGTGAATAAATAACTAAGTATATTGGAGCGTTATTTTGAACTTTCATCGCCCTGTGAACGTACAACGACCCTTTCGCTGTTTTTATGCACACTGACATCAACGAGAATGAGAATTTAACGTGGGATGAAGGACGAAACGAAGGCGCCAATTGTGTGCTTATAATTCAACATTGATTAACTCACTTCTTTGTATGGATGTAAACTTTTTGTCTGTAACTTGATGAGTCATCCATGTATCTCCATCATTATTCGGATGCTAAAATCACTTCTTTGTATAAATATAAATTTTTTCCATTAAATCATTATTGATTCGTTTTTTTACGGTTTATCAACCCTTTGCCTATTATTTAAAACTAAAAGATATTTTTAGATTTTGGGGGGGTTGGGGAAGCATTGTGACATTAGTGAGGAAATCTTCATCCCTTTGAAAATCTTGTTCGAATTTTGATAAATAAATCTTTTATTGCCCAACGTGAAGCCTGGTTTGGTTTGATTTGGTTTGGTTTACGGCATATCAACATCAATGGAATATTTAATCCCGACAAAATTTTTATTGCCGTTAATTTTTTTTCAGAAATGTATTGCTGGTAATAATTTTTTACAAAGTATTTCTGGTATTAAAACCTATTTTTACGCTTTCATAGTGTTTTGACCTCAGTTTGGGGGTTAACTATTTACCCATAGCTGGGACCCTAACAGGTGCAACCTCTCCGGGTCAGGGTAGAGCAGGGAACACCAGCAATTAAGAGGTGGTTCCACTCTTCTCAAAACCTCCTGATCAGAGGCTTTGCTGTTTGACGTAGTTTATCGTCTTACCCAGGACGATGTTGATGTAGTTTATCACTATAACCAGGACTGCATGAAGCCTGGAATCTGTAGTTACTTGGATATTCACATGCTAAATGATGTCAATTTTTTTTTGGTGGAGAAAACTCTGTATTATGATTCTGCTTGTTCCCTAGTTAGTTAGCATGTACATTAGACCTTGTCATTACCTCATATAAACAATGGACTATTTCAACTTCATTGAAGAAAACAGGCAGAAGATATAAAGAAGATATATCGAAGGCACCGTTTAGTTTGAATGAAAGAAAGAAAGAAAGAAAAAAGAAAGAGGAAAAGAAACAAAAGAAAGAAAAAAGAAAGAGGAAAAGAAAGAGGGAAAGAAAGAAAGAAAGAAAGAAAGGAAAAAGAAAGAGGAAAAGAAACAAAAGAAAGAAAAAAAGAAAGAAAGAAAGAAAAAGAAAGAAAGAAAGAAAGAAAGAAAGAAAGAAAAAAAAAAAAAGAAAAGGAAAAGAAACAAAAGAAAAGAAAAAAGAAAAGGAAAGAAAAAGAAAAGAAAGAAAGAAAAAGAAAAAGAAAAAAAAAAGAAAAGAAAGAAAAAAAAAAAAAAAAAGAAAGGAAAGAAAAAAAAGAAAGAAAAAGAGGAAAATAAAGAAAGAAAGAAAGAAAGAAAGAAAGAAAGAATGAAAGAAAAAAAAGAAAGAGGAAAAGAAACAAAAGAAAAAAGAAAAAGAGGAAAGGAAAAGAAAGAAAGAAAGAAAGAAAAAAAAAAGAAAGAAAAGAAAGAAAGAAAGAAAGAAAGAAAGAAAGAAAGAAAGAAAGAAAAAAGAAAGAGGAAAAGAAACAAAAGAAAGAAAAAAGAAAGAGGAAAAGAAAGAAAGAAAGAAAGAGGGGTCGATAACCCACATATGTTTAACGTCTGCTTCAGTGAAATGTAAATTTCCAAAATTCTCAATTTTAATCTTTTCCCTTGTACTGTCTTACTTCTTTAAAAATGATTTGCATTCACATTTGTAATTGTTCTTCTCAAACATTAAACTCAAACATTTAATTACGTAATAGTCGAATTTGAACTGAACGGTGAATTATTTGTACCTATATTTTCCTTTTCGCAAAATATTTCAATGGAAACCACCATTTTTAAGATACACTTTGTCTCAAAATGGTCTTTCAGGACCAGGGAAAACCATATTTTCAGCCAAAGTTTATAAAGGATTCCTTCGATTAATATGCATTCCACAACTGTGTTCTCGATTGGTGCGTTCAAAATTCAATTAGTGCGATAAGTCATTTTTCAGTTTAACCAAAGTAATTGAAAAATTGATTTTTTTTAATAATTGCCCATGTACACAATAACCCAGTGGTTCTCAACCGATTATTGGCCATAACCCACTTTGGTATTTCTAAAATTCTGGTGCTCACCCAATGTAATATTTAATTCTTACATATTCCAAATTTTACTGCAATTTACGTGAAGGCAGTTACCTTGGTCTCTAAACAAGCTTCCAAGACCATGGCGTCCATGAAAGAGAAAAATTAAAAAAACAAAAGACAGTTAAATATATATATATATAGATTCAAAACATAAAGACCTGAAAGGCAGAAATATAAAATATTTGAATGAAAGCTTATTCTGTAATAATACTTTGATCATTTTAATCATAAAATAATAATACGATATGAAATTTGAGCACACGTTTGTATAGTAAGGCCACCTGTAATATTTAATTCTTACATATTCAAAACGTTACGGCAATTCACGTGCAGGAAGATTAAAAGACAGTTAACTTGGTCTCTAAACAAGCCTCCAAAGACCATGGCGTCCATGAAAGAGAAAAATTGAAAAGCCAACTGAAAGCTCACACACGTTGATTGGCCAACAAAACATGGGCTCTTCCAGCAACATGCATCACGCCCTCTCTTTTGTTGACCGAGTCAAAAATACCCTGTATGCCAATTACACGTGTAATTACATATACAAAAAATATTTTTATGTATGCATACTCTATATGCATCGTATATTTTAACACGCATTAAGATTAACTCTCTCACTCAGATTCACTAGAAAACAACTGTTAATAACTCACTCGCGAATTGCCCCCTTATTCTGTTAGTATAATAAGCCAAAGGGTGCACATCCTACGCATGCCTCACCAAAATATTACAATGCCCCACCGGTGGGGCATGCGCTCCACGGTGGGAATCATTGCATTAGCCGCACTAATCGAGGGATTCTTCTACTTGGTTAAAAAAAAAAAAGTGGTTTCCATAATTGAAAACAGGGATGCAGTTTCGATTCCTGTCAGAGGTACGATTTTTTCTTTAGTAGAACAATTCAATCTAGGCCAGTGGTTATTAGTTTCACAGTTTAAAGAAAATAAAAATAATACAGTAGAATCCCTCATATCCGCAATCCCACATATCCGGAATGCTTCATATCCGGAATCCCACATATCCGGAATCCCACATATCCGGAGTCCCACATATCCGCAATCTCTCATATCCGGAATCCCACATATCCGGAATCCCTCATATCCGGAATCCCACATATCCGCAATCCCTCATATCCGGAATCCCACATGTCCGCAATCCCTCATATCCGGAATCCCACACATCCGCAATCCCTCATATCCGGAATCCCACATATCCGGAGTCCCACATATCCGGAGTCCCACATATCCGCAATCCTTCATATCCGGAATCCCACATATCCGCAATCCCTCATATCCGCAATCCCTCATATCCGGAATCCCACATATCCGGAGTCCCACATATCCAATGATTTTGATGTGTATATTTGAACTATCTGGGTGATATGTAACTGATTTGAAATTCCTGTTTTTCAGGAAATTTACGTTAGATAAGTGCTTGTATTGATGCAAAAGATGATGGGAATAAGAGGAAAGGATGACAACGAGACACACCTGCAACAAGATAGCGACGAGATGCATGATTGTGATGAAACCTGGGCTGAAATTGAAAAAGCTATTGAAAAGGTTGTCCGTTTTATGAAAAGAAAACTAGCATTCACCTATGACAATTACAATAAAGCACGCAGAGTTAAAAAGTGTTTTTCGTTTAAAAAAAATTCAAGAAGAGAAGCTAAACGAAAAGCGGAAAAAGTTGAGAATGACATTAGAAGAAAAATAATCATCAAGCAACAGCGATTAAAAAATCTTCGTTATATTATTTGTTTTGCATACGTGGCATACTTAATTTAATGAATTTTCATTAACATTACATAATTTATTTCTTTTACTTTAAAATCAATTCCGTTATATTTCATTCACTATTAGCTTATTTGGTTTACTATAAAACACTGAAAATAAACGTTATGCCTGATTTCAGTTCTTTTATTTTAATCTATATATAACCCTTCATAGCGTGACTTTGTAACCAATTCTTCATATCTGGAAGGCCTTCTTAATCCTGTTGTCCGGGATTGTACTGAAATTGAATGAAACGTAATTGCAGTTTCTTTTTGGAAGAATCAAGAAAAACAGAAATGACTTATGATTCAACCAAACACTGAATAACAGTATGTAGATTCACGATTTATTTTTCTCTAACTCATGTACCTGTGAACCATGACAAAGGCGTAGAACCGAGTTCCTGCATGTGACAAATTAATTCAAAAACATCAAAGGAAAGGTGTATCGGAAGGTGACCGGGTCTAAGTGCTGGACAAAAGCCACAATCAATTGGTTGACTCCCAGTTTACGTGTTTTCATAGCAGTGACGCGTGACTGTATTTGAACAAATTTAATATTAATGAGGATGCGTCAGAAACATTCACAAGATCCAAGCCCGTGATATATGTGTGTTTGAGTGTGTTTGAGTGTGTGTGTGTGTGTGTGTGTGTGTGTGTGTGTTTGAGTGTGTGTGTTTGAGTGTGTGTATGGGCGTGAGAGAGAGAGAAACAGAGAAATAGATACAGATAGGATTTAGGTGAGGAAAAGCGTTGGTGAAACGGATCTACTTATGATGCAGTCGAGAGTTCAATCCAAGGATCGGGTAATGCTAAAAAAAAAAGCTTCAATGCAATTCAGAAAAGAAAACACAAGAAGTATTTAATTAGACAAAATTAACTGTTGTGAAATGTTTTCAAAAATGACTAGAATAAGAACAATCTATCCCCGTGGATTAAGTGAAGGAAGAATTAAGAGTTATGAGATTTCTTCTTGCATGGTTGAACAATCCCATACGCGTTAATGGAATAAAGGAAGAATTAAGAGATACAAGATTTTCTTTTCCATGCTCAGTGGAATGACAAAAATCTATCCCCGTGGATTAAGTGAAGGAAGAATTAAGAGTTATGAGATTTCTTCTTGCATAGACAGTGTAAGGTGAACACTCTAACCCCATAAACTGAATAAAGAAAGAATTCAGAAATAGGAAATTTCCTCTTGTATAGACAGCTGAACAATATATGCCTGTAAATTGAATAAAGGAAAAATTAAGAGATAAGAGATTTCCTCTTGCAGGGACATTGGAATGAGAAATATCTTACTGCGTTGAGGGAATAAAGAGAGAATTAATTGATACGAGATTTCCTCTAGCATAGACAACGGAATAAGAACAATCTATTCCCAATGATGAAATAAAAAAGAAATAATTAAGAGATACAAGATTTTCTCTTCTATGAGTAGTGGAATGAGAACAGTCTATCCTACTTAATGGAATAAAGGAAGAAATAAGAGACACGAGATTTTCTCTTGCGTGGAGAACGGAATAAGAACAATCTGTACTCGTTGATGAAATAAAAGAAGAATTAAGAGGTACGACAGCCTATCCACATTGATGGAATAAATGAATTAAACAATACGAAATTTCCTCTTCCATGAGAATATTCGGAATGAGAACAGTCTATCCCCATTAACTGAATAAAGGAAGAATTAATATAGGAGAAACGAGATTTCCTCTTGCGTAGTCAGTGGAATGAGAACAATCTATTCCCATTGTTGGAATAAAGGAAGAATTAAGAGATATGATATTCCCTCTTGCATGGACAGCGGAATGAGAACAATCTATTTTCATTGATGGAATAAAGGAATAATTAAAGGCTTCGAGATTTCTTCTTGAGTGGAATCAGAACTGCCTCCATTTATGGAATAAAGAAAGAATTAAGAATTACGTGATATCCTCTTGCATGGAAAGTGGTATGAGAACAATCTATCACCGTTGATGAACTAAACAAAGAATTAAGAGATACAATATATCGTTTTGCAATCTATCACAATTTATGGAATAAAGTAAGAGCTAAGCGATAGATTTCCTCTTCATGACTAGCAGAATGTAAACAATCTACCCCCGTGGATAAAATAGAGAATAACAACAAATGCTTTTCAAAACACTGATTGGTAAAAAACGATCAATACAATTAATCGGCAATTGCGATTAATTTCACTTAATCGACAATTTCTTTCTTTCGGCTTCGAGAAGGTGAACAACTGTCTTACTAAATTCCGGCTACGGAAAGAGGACCCTACATTCATTGACCGTTGTCTTGGTGACTGTTGACTCACTCACTGCTGGTCCTTCTCTTACTCATGCCAGTTCTCTTCTCACTCACCCTGCCTAACTGTTCATGACATAGACACCGGCTAAAGTCCAACCATCACTATCCGTCTACCTGTGTTCCGGAAAAGGCGACCGCCTATTCAAATTTTGGGTTGTCAGTTTTTCAAAGCACTCTACTTTTATGATTATCTAAAGTCTCTAACAAATTTTATGTTTGCCAATTCAAAGGCTGGATGGAGACAAGATTCCTGAAAACCGTGGTCATTAAACTGACTTAAAAGATGGATTGGAGACGAGATTCCTAAGAAACCTGGTCATTAAATTGACTTAAAAGTAAAGAAAATCTATCTATTTATCTCCTAAGGATGTGTAGGAAATCGTATTGCTA